TGTGTGTGTGTGTGTGTGTGTGTGTGTGTGTGTGTGTGTGTGTGTGTGTGTGTAAACCTCCTATAACTTTTGAACGGTTGAACCGATTTCATCGCGGTTGGTGCCATTCGAAAGGGCTTCACTAAACTTAGATTTCCTGAAAATTTGAACCGATTCGGACCGATAGATTTTGAGAAATTTAGAGAAATCTCCAAAAAAATAGGAAAAAATAGGAAAAAAATTTTTTTCAGAAGTGGTTTTTTTGGAATAACTTTTAAACGGCTCTACCGATCGATTTCAAAAACTAATCAGCTCTCAACCTTAAGAAACCACGTCGATTGCCGCCAATCCGGTCAAAATTGGTTGATTCGTTTAAGAGATATCGTGAACGAAAAAAAACCGAAAAAAGTGTTTTTTCGGAATTACTCCGAAATTTGTAGTTTAACCAATTGAAACTTAAGAATTCTTTATGAAGCTTAAAAAACTGCGTAGAATGCCGCCAACCGCGTGAAAATCGGTTCATTCATTCAAAAGTTATTGCGATTTGAAAATAGAAAGAATAGTGTTTTATCAAACTTCTATCAAACTTTTGAGCTCGAAGAGCTCAAAAGCATACAAAAGCTATTTTTTTGAGCTCGGAGAGCTCGAAATAATACAAAAATTGTATTTATGAGCTCGAAGAGCTCTAAAACGTCATAAGTGCAATTTCAAGCGTTTAGGTATAGAATTGGCGGGAAGTTGCAGGGATGGCCTTCAGGGTCAACCGTATTCCTAATTTTTTTTTGTGTTTTGTTACTTTTTCGTTAATAAATAGTAAAGTTTATTATTTTTGTCTGGGGAACTTGCCCCCCAACTCCCATCAGGGCTTTGTCACTGAACCCTCTTATTGAGGTGCCTTTTTTCACAAAAAAAAATAACAGAGGCGGGAGGGGGTCGAAAGACATTGGCACAATCGAATAGTAAAATAAAATTGTAATAAAATTACCTTTTAATTATTGATTGACAATAAAAATCAAATTAACGCAAGTAAATTTAAAGCTGTAAAATGGACGGGGAAGTATGAAGTATGCTTCCTGTTGATGCAAGCATCAAATATTTTTTCTGCTTACATCCTCTTCAGACTGGAAGTAAAACAACTCTATACATTAGGGTGTGCCAAAATTCAATTACCGTGAAGAACCTTTTAAAATTGGAACTTTGAGTTCCGTACAGGAGCTATGTTTGGGCATTTCCTGAGATTATTTTGGGTTGAGACGATTTATTTGATTTTCATAGAATTTTTAACAGGAGCTTTGTTTGGGCACTTCCGGCCGTGAGATATCTCCACAGCGGACGGAAAAAATTATAAAAATTTTATGAAATTCAAATACGAACGTCTCAACCCAAAATATCTCAGGAAATTCCTAAACACAGCTCTTGTCTAAAAGCGTAACTCAAAATTCCAATTTTAAAAGATTCTTCACGGAAATTGAATTTTGGTACACCCTACTATGCATAGACAATCTATATGCAGACAATTTACTTTTAAAATCGAGAGTTGAAAAATTAATCGGAAATTTCCTTTTATTTATTTTTTTTTCTTATTGGTAGTAAGACATTTTCTTGATTTATTTTTCTAGGTATATTTTTTCCAATTATCCCCAGAAGTATCCCTTACCTTGTCTAATATTTTTGGTCATTTGTTCATGAATTTGTGTTTTGATAAAAAATACACTTAAAAAGTTCGACGAAAAAGTAAAGTTCATAATTTTGTATAACCTATGAAAAAAATTTTTAGGGTCTTTCTTTTTTAGAGAACTTCGTTTTGCCAATTCAAGTGTACTGAAAACCTTTACTTTACACTTTACGTCGAATACAATTTTTTGTAATGACAAATGCAAAAGTATAACTTGAAAGGAAAAATAACCTAATTATTTTACAATCATGTATTGTTTATTATATTTTATATTTTAGTATTTCAGGAGTTGGTTTAAAGGATGACCCCTCATAATTTCTTAGTCTTTAATATCTTGGTAAATATATCTCGGCAATCATATCTCAGACAATAATATCTCGTGTGTTTTGGTCTATTTTTTAGCATAAACACACCCAAAAACCATGTTAAAAAAGCGCAACACGATTACGGGGGATTGTGTTGGCCTATTTTCGAGCATAAAATCGGCACAAAAATTCAAAATTGCACCGAGACATTTATATTTGAGATATTATTGTCTCGAGATGTTATTTCTGAGATATAAAGAGAGGTAGCCGGTTTAAAGTATATAAGAATAATTGTACAGACAATCTTTGTATGGAACGGTTCATGTAGATATTTAATTATATTTCGAGCCTCGTTCTCGAGATTACATAAGTAATCGACAATATATCACCATGTAGTTACCTTTGTTCACGCTAGATGTCACAACTTTCAGAGTCCCCGAAGGGAAAAAATCCCTTCCATCAGCCCTCCGCTGCGTCCCATACTTCATATCTTTTCGTTGTGCGCTAGAGGAACGACGTAAGAGAGTACTTAAGACGTATATCAACCTTTTTATATCATTTTAAAGAAAATTATTTTTTCAAAAAAGTGTTTGATTTATTTTAGTGTTGTGTTTTATTAGACATTAAATATGTCGAAGAGAAAAAACGATTCTATTGTTATAGAATTACGAAAGCAGATAAAATTGATGCAAGAGCAATTAGACGCAGTACAGCCGCTGGAAGAGCCGTCAGAACCAGAGGTATCAGACACCGAGTCTGATACATCACAAAAAGATGGACTAGAGACTGATTTACTTGCTAATTTTCAAGGTAAAATATTTATATGTATAATGTTAAATAAAAACTTGCACAAGACAAGTAATGTCTAGTACGACTTAGTCCCATAGAGTTTGCACGAGCGGCAAAACAAAATGGCGACGATGGCTAACGAGCCTACACGAGAGGTAGGACGCTGTTAGACCTTACACCTGAGAAGCTTGTACGAGAGACAAGACATCTCAGAGTTATTTAGTAATGAATCTGCACGAGAGGCAAAGCATACTAAAAAATCAATTAGTTAATTAATTTATTAAAAAAAAAAAAAAAAATTAAAATTTAATTAATAATAATAGTAAATAAAATTGACATTGTTTCATTTTTGCTTTAAGATGAAGAATCAGTCGAGGAAAAAGAAAACGATGATCAAAATAAAATTCGAGATCAAAAAACTGATCCAATACCACCATCGCTAAACGCAGAGCAAGCGAGCTGTAGTAAAACATTAAGCGAAGAGGTTCTCAAGGTCCTGGGCGAAGATCCACTAGCCTCAAAGGCAATTGATATAAAACTACACTCGTCATTATCAGCAAGATGGAAACATTGGACAGCTAATGGTGTACCAAAACAAGAAATGGAAGATTTATTGTCCAAATACGCAAGACAGGAGGGTTTAGAGGCACCTAAACTCAATCTTGAGGTTAGCTCTAACCTGGGTGAATCAGCGGTTAAACGGGATAAATTTATCACCGAAAATCAGAAATCAGTTGGTTCAGCACTGTCTGCGGTAGGGTCAGCATTATCGATGTTACTCGAAGAAGATGAGAGCATTGATAAACTCGTTTTCGTAGAAAGACTGAGTGATGCGACCAAAATACTGTCAGATTTGCATTTCAGACTTTCTGAATCGAGAAAAGCTTTTATTCTCCCTGGCATGACCAAGCAGAGTAAGAATGTTCTATCTACTACCAAGATAGACGAGTTCTTATTCGGAAAGAACTTATCAGATAAACTCAAGGAAGCCAGAGCCCTGGACAAATTAACCCAAAGTATGAGGTACCAGCAATCCAAGGCAGGAAACCAAAACCCATCAACAGCTTTTTTAAAAGGAGCAGATTTAAGTATCATTAGAAAAACAGCAGGGTGGTCTAATAGTTCAAAAATGTTTGCAAAAGTTTATAACAGACCACTCCTGATAGATAATCAAGTTTTTGCTAAAGCTGTAATACATTAATATTCTTAATTATTTATGTTTTTTACTTATAATATTCATGTTATTGTATCTTTTTCTTTTCTTTTTGCATATGTTCATATCAAAAAATTTCAAAAAAAAAAAAAATAAAAATTGTTGTCTCTAAACAACTACATGGTGATATATTGTCGATTACTTATGTAATCTCGAGAACGAGGCTCGAAATATAATTAAATGATCAAACGAGCCTGCCGAAGGCAGGCGAAGTTCGATCGTAATTATATGAAGAGCCTCGTTTCAAGAGATTACAACCCTCCCATGGGAAAAATGTTTTTCCCATCTCCCAAAACCCCAAAATAGACAAACAATTTCTATTTTTAACTTTAATTATTCTATACACTCTAAAAAATATGAAGTATGGGACGCAGCGGAGGGCTGATGGAAGGGATTTTTTCCCTTCGGGGACTCTGAAAGTTGTGACATCTAGCGTGAACGAAGGTAACTATATGGTGATATATTGTCGATTACTTATGTAATCTCTTCGAACGAGGCTCTTCATATAATTACGATCGAACTTCGCCTGCCTTCGGCAGGCTCGTTTGATCATTTAATTATAGCGCACTTTAGCGGGCAATTTAGGAGATAAAAAATATTCAATAAACTGTAGTATTTTAAAAAGCAGAGAGAGACGATAGAAAAAAAGAGATTTTACAGCTTTTTTGAAGCATTGTTTGTCATAAAAAAATATACTGTAGAATTAAAAAAAGTTGTTTAGTCAAAACGTTATTAACGAAGTTAAAGTAAAATACAAAAACGAATTTGTAATATCAAAAATATTACAAGAATTCCAAAAAAAGAGTTTCCTTATGGGTACAGAAAAATATCAAGAAATCAAGGAAATCAAAAATTTGAAAACTGCTCAATTTATTTGAAATGCTTTAAATACACATCATTTTTTACCTAACAATTATAACAACACCAATTAAAATTAAAAAAGTTTGAAAAATCCAAAAGTGCTCACCTCATAATCTCATTTTTCACAATAAAATTGATTAAAATAAATGATTAAAAGCAAAATAATAAAAAACAGATAACTCTGCTATGGTTAGCGGCGCCATAACTCTGAGGTGAGGAAAAAAAATACTATAATAAAATGTATAGATAGATATACAATAAAATCCACAGTCATAAATTAGTTTTTTTTAAAGAACTCTGGGAAATCGTGACGTGGAATGTCGCAGGAATTAAAAATGTCAAGAAAGCAAAGAATTTCCTGCGTAACTTCGACATCATTATAGCGCAGGAAACGTGGGTGGAAAGCAAAAATGAAAAAAGTGTTCTGAATAGTTTGGATAAGGAATACCAGTGGGCAGCGAAAGCCGCGATAAGAGTAAACAAGAAAGGGCGAGGTAAGGGAGGCTGCTTAATGGGGATCAAGAAAGTGCTGGCGAAAAAAGTAACAATCGAAGAGTGGGAATATGGCCTAGTAATGAGAGGACTGAAATCAGAAGAAGGCACTCCAACACGACTAATAGCAGGGTATAACAATGCCAAGTTCAAAGAGCTTGGTAAGGAACTACGGAAGCATATAGAGGAAGGGCTACTTAACAATGAAATAATAGTACTAGCAGGAGATTGGAATGCAAGAATCTCTGATGTGCAAAGCACGGAGAATGACAATGAAGAGATAGAACTCAATAATTGGGCAAGAAGATCGGAAGATGAAGTTCTAAACAATGAAGGTAGAAAATTCCTGGAAATTTGCGAGGAATTTGGCTTAATAGTACTGAATGGAGCTATTAAAGGAGATAGAAAAGGAAAAGCCACTTACATAGGAGGAGATAGTAACTCAGTGTTAGACCTGGTGGTGGCCAAAGAGGACCACAATCCAATGATAGTAGAAGAACTCCAAGTGCTGACAAGAATAGAGTCCGATCATCTCCCAGTATCGTTTAGACTCAGACTAAAAGGAAAAAAGATCTACAGTGGTGGGAAAAGAAGTGACGCGAGAGAAGAGAAAGTAACCCAAAATAAGACAAAACTAGCTTGGAAAAAAGATTTAGCTGAGGAGTATGGTACCAGGCTAGAAGAAATTTGGAACAACACTACGAGGGCAGCGCAGGTGTCAGAGAACGGTCTTGACCTCAACGATAGATGGTGCAGACTTAAACAGGCAATATTCACAACAGCAGAAGAGCTGAAACTAGTCAAGAAACTCAAAGGTGGAGATGCAGAGGACTGGTTTGATGGAAAATGCAAGGAACTGCGGAAGCAAGTGTGGAAAGCGTTGAAAGCACACAGAAAGGATAGAAAAAATAACCATAAAAGAGAAATTTGGCTGGAAAAGAGAAGCGAGTTAAAAAACCTGTATAAAAAATTAAAAGAAGAAAACATGGAAAAGAAGTGGAAGAAGGTAGAAAATAGCACCAGTATGTCTAGCTTCTGGGAAGGAATCAACCAGTTCCGAAGAAGAAACAAGATAATTAGAGGAGATATAAGCGATAAGCAATGGGTGACCCATTTTCAAACGCTGCTTGGAAGTGAAAACGGTAATGAGAGGAATGGAACGAGTAGAGTGAGGCCCACTAAAAGTAATACTAGCAGTGAAGCTCCAGGGGAAGAAGAAATGAAAGGAGAGATGGATGAGGAAATAACCTGGGAAGAGTTCACGAAGACCCTGAGCGGTTTAAAAAATGGAAAATCGCCGGGAGAAGATGGGCTAACTGTAGAATTCCTAAAGGGCTTGCCAGGATGCTGGAAAGAGGAGCTATATGAGACAATCAACCAAGCTTGGAAGAAAGGTGAATTGCCAGAGGGGTGGGACACGGCAAAAATCTTTCCTATCTACAAAGCGGGCGACGAGAATGAAACCAAGAACTATCGGGGCATAGCACTCTTAAATATTGGCTATAAACTGATAGCCAAGATTATGGCCACCAGACTAACGAAGTGGGCAGAGGACAACGGCCTCCTGCGAGAAAGCCAAGCAGGTTTCAGAGGCGAGCGCGGCACCAGAGACCACATCTTCACACTAAACTCAATAATAGGGAAGAGTATTAAACAACAAAAGGGTAAGCTTTATGCGGCATTCGTGGACTTCAGAGCAGCCTTCGACTTAGTGGACAGAAACAATCTACTGGAAAAACTGCAGGAATTGGGAGTAAAAGGCAGGATGTTCAGCCTGATAAGCAAAATCTATGAAAAATCTGTCAATAAAGTGATGACGGAAGATGGGACAACAGAACCTTTTGATTCATACATGGGAGTAAGACAACGATGCCCACTAAGCCCGATACTCTTCTGTCTGTACATTGACGACCTACACGATGATCTGGAAAAGAAAAACGAAGGTGGTGTAGTGATGGGAAGAGTCAAAATCTTCACACTGAAATTTGCGGATGACATAGTGCTACTAGCCGATGCGGCAGAAGGGCTGTCGAACATGCTGAAGACGCTACAGAGATTCTCTAAGAAGAAAAAACTTGAAGTAAACGTCAGGAAAACTAAAATAATGATCTTCAGGAAGGGAGGTGGTCTCGGGAATATAAACAAGTGGATGTATGAGGGACAGGATATAGAGATAGTCAACGAATTTAAGTATCTGGGTTTCTGGTTCAACACTAGAGGCACATATGGGAATCACGTAGCGAAACTGACTGCAAAAGCACAAAAAGCAATAAATGTAGCCTGGGGAGTTATGAAAAGAGCGAAAGTAAACAGCTTAAGTAGAAGATTCTATCTATTGGACACGCTAGCTAAGTCAGGATGCATCTATGGAGTAGAAATCTGGGGTTGGGTGAAGCAAAAGAAGATGGAGCAACTAAGAGGACGATACGCAAAAATGATCATGGGCCTAAACAGTAACACCCCGGACTACATCTGGAAAACGGAGGCAAGTAGGACAGGAATGGAGTTAGAAGCTAGAAGAAGAGCCTACAAATACATTGTTGAGGTAGCTGGAATGAAAGATGACAGGTGGCCGAAAGTTTGCCTCCGGGAGGAAGCAAGACTTACCTTGAATAAAAACCCCACAAAATTCGGAAGTGATATGGTGAAAGCGTTACAAGAGACCGAGGAGATGACGACACTACTCAAGAATATGATGGAAAATAAAAACTTGGAGTGGATAGAGACCAAACTAAGTGAGAGCTTAAGAGAGCTAGAAACGAAATTAAAAACGGAAATAAGAGCCAAGGTCGCGCAATCAAGGTACTGGGATAAATATGAAGAGATAACAAGTGAAGAAAATTTTAACAGCTACTGGGAGCAAAAGCAATGGAAGGGCTGGGAAAAAGAGCAGTGGGCAAGACTGAGAAGCGGCAACCTAGGCAGAGTGGGAAATAAAGGCTACAGTGACACCAACTGCAGGTTGTGCGGAAAAGCAGAGGAGACACTAGATCACCTATGGGTGTGCGACAAGGCAAAAAGTGCAATAAAGAAAGAGTGGGTAAAAGATATGGAAAACTGGAGAAATGCAAAGGAAGGTACTGAGCTGGAAAGACTCACAATTAACACTCTGCAGGGTGAGCCAAAGACAGAGTTGTGCAGATATGCAAGGGAGTTCGAGAAGCTAGTCAGGAAGACACGAGAATCCGCACAAGCAGGAAAAAAAACGGAAGCTAGTGAGGAGAAGAAGCGTCGATAGATTATATAAAAAGTTCTCTATGCATATATATATTGTTATACGACATTATTTTAATTTATTTTATTTATTTTTTAATTCTTTATTAAAAATAATTCTTGTAAAGACGAAAAGGGATGTAAAAGACCATACAGGCTATACATTATATGAATAAACTACTACTACTACTACTAGTTTTTTTTAAATAATAATTTAACGACAGTGAATTGAACGCTTATATTAATTAAGAAAATCCGTCGTGTTCACTTTAGATAATAAAAAAAAAATTATTCCGGTACGATCATTTTTTCGACCGATTTCCCTGCCACGTACACCCATCCATACATGGACGTCCAGAAAAGATTATGTTTAGTGTTATTATTTACTATGTTAAACAAAAAAATTGTTATTGAAATAAATTTTATGTGCCTGACAAATTATTTGACTTGATATAAGTGTACTCATATTAATCTGTAAATGCGATATAAATAACAGAAAATCATTTTCAGTTTCGAGAAAACTGCTTTTTTTGAAATGTCGAGAGTAGAGCACAACCTCAACGCTTCGCTTATGAGGCGTGCAAAATTTGTGTTTTTGAAACTATTGAATGGACGTTTTTGGTACCTAAAGAGATGTTGGGCTTGAGAAAAACTACAGTTCGCTTTTTGGTATATACCGTCCGACCAGTAGATCATTAGCTATAAATAAGTACAATTTAAGCTACATTTTATAGACAGATACTTTAGCGAATTGAACAATCATCTGATCATTTAAAAATATTAACCACTCATTTCTGACATAAAAACGAACATTTCTAAGCTTTGGCAGGAATTTTTATTTCAAAAATGCAATGTTTTAGAGCAAAAAATGTGTTTTTTAAGAAACGTTCATAACCCGGAAACTAATTACATTAAAAAATTCTACTTTGGCTCAAAAAATCAAGAAAACTCACGCACGAAAATTGTCTATTTTGGAAAAAATTGTTTTTCTTCAGGCAACGAGCACTTAGTAAGTGCTGTTGCGAGTCTGAGGTAGTGCGGGTAGTCCGGCTGGGCAAAATGCTTGATTTTGGGACTTTCATTGCGCGAAAATTAAAACTCGAAGCCTGTACATATAATGTTATATAATTTATTTGATTAAAATGTAAAATAAATTTTAAATTTGGTATCAATATTATCATAAATAAACCCTATAATTATCCAACTCCTAAAATTTTACATTCGACTCACCTTAAAGTATACTTTCTTGAAAGTTTCATTTCTACCGCGTATAACGAAAACGTACGAGTATACTTTTGTTTTTACGAAATTGGAATTAATAGCTGTGACTTGTAAGAGAAGAATTTTGAGCCTGTGGTGCCAAGGAGTTTTTTTTTTCATTTCTCATACCTTTGACACATTTTACTGTAAGGAATTTTTTTTGCGTTCCAAAGATATGAATATTTGTTGGCATCCAACCTTCATAACTTCCGGTTCATACACACATTTATGATTCAATTTTTTAAAATTGCGTTTTTTAAGATATTAGCTACAACTTTTTCTTTTAAATTTCTCTTTTTTAACACATTTAAAAAAAAATTCTTCCATCAAGTTTAGTAATTTTAATATATTGAATTTTTATTTTTTTTATCATTAATTGTAAAAAATTTTTTTTACAATTTAAAAAAATCAATAAATATTATTTTTTACCTAAAAAAATGACTCTTTGCTATTGAAATAATCATATTTTTTATAACATTGATTAGATAAGATGGTTTCCGTCACAACTCATTGTTTTAGAAGATATTTTTCAGTAAAAAATTACTATTATCATGAATACTATAAAACTAAAAAAATAAATAATCGTTTATACAATACCTGTAAATCTTCTAATGCTAATTCGGCTTTGTGAAGACCTTCCATATCTTTCATCATTCGTTTTAAATGCTTCTGTGAACTTTTTTTTTGCTGATAAACATACCAACATCCAATTAGCGCTCCAAACAATAACGTAATTAATATAAGATCCTTTAAGCTATGGCCGGTATCTACCAAAACGAATTTCATAAAATTTAATACAAGTAAATTTCGAGAAAAAAAAATTATTTTAAAATATAAACTTTAATATAGAAAAACATTAACCTTTAGGTGGTCCAAATAATACAACATCCATAGCTTTCAGTGCAATCTTTTGTTTATGGATAGGATCTTTAATGCCCAAAACATTATTAAGATAGTGCATATTATTCACAGCCAGTCTATCGCAAACAGAAAAAAAGATTCGCCTTAGAATTTATTGTTACGTATAATTATAATACTACCTATATAATAAGCACAATACTTGTAACTGTCCAATTTGTTATCTTATCAAATACTATTTTTGTGCTTAGAAAAGTCCAAAAGTACTGGTATTAGTTAATATCAAACCTAGGAAGTGTTGCTCCTGTAACACGATGTTGTATAAAGTTTGGAACATATTGCGGAAGCTCAACATTTGTAGTCAACCACTCAGAAGTCTGTTCGATCGTCCAATTATGAACTTCAGATCTCAACCAAGCCTCCCATAATTCCCTAACACTAATATGCATATCATCATTATGATGAAAAGCACGTTGACGTCGTTCGTAACCAGCTTCATACTGTAATTCTTCCCTGAGAAACTGAATAATTTCATGAGTAAGTATAATAATTATATGTTAATTTTTTGAAATATAACTCTGGTATTGTTTAAAACTAGGGACCACTTCTTTTTAGCGATAAGAATTCAAAAAATAAAAATATGGTATACTTTTTTCTAAATAATTTGTTTTTACGGCGAGTTTGAGATAAAAACCATGAAAACTATCTAAATAAATTTTTTTATGTTTTGAAGCTTTTAGTGTTGGAAAAAACGAAATGCTTACTGAAAATCGATGATAAAACTCATATAAATAAGTTTAATGAATTCAAATACTTTAGTTTAGATTAAAATTTGTGAATCAAGCAATATTATTCTGAAGAATTTGATTATTGCGAATTAATCTTGAAATAAAAAATTTTCTCGTCTTCAGTAAATTTTACTTTATTCAAGAACTTTTCCATTGAGTTAAAAATATCAAATATTTCAAAATGATTTTCGTATCTGAAGATTTCTTCTCTTGAATCATATCAATTTCTTTACCGTTTTAAAATACAAAACAAACTAATTTTAAATTGGTTTTTTTGAAATAATTTTTCTTCAAATTGTTTTATTTTAATCAACTTAAAAAAAGAAGAATAAATAGACATTCAAAAAATAATTTATCATGTTAATTTTATGTTCAGAAATAGGGTGCGCCTAAATTCCAAATAATTACCATAAGTTTTTTGAACTACTGTAGACAAACTTACATCATCAGACTCTGATAAATCGACATCACCATCGGCATCATCATCCAATTGACTATGTAACGTTCTGATAGCCTCTAAGCCTAAACGATCGTGAGATGCCATTGTTATGCATGCTAAATCATCATTACAAGTATCCACAGCTAAAACATTAATTGTTAATAATTATGACAGAACTATGAAAATATAATCTAGCTCGAATAATAAATTTAATTATAAATCTCACAATATTAACTTACGAGACTGTAAGGCATCATGAGCAACAGCTTGAGCGATACCCTTAGCAAATGTTGGCGAGAATGTCGTCGAACGAATATGATGTGATGCCTCATTTGATTTTGCATGATATCCAGATGAACTGTCCAATGCACCACCACCCGCAATTACTTCAGCGCAACACCAACAGAGAAGTCGAAGTACATAAATTCCAATTAATTCGACATTTACTGCTGATCGCATTATAATATATATATATATATATATATTTATATATATATCACAAATAATTAACCTCCGCTAAGCATTAATTTTTTTTTCTTCTTCTTCTTTTGATTAATCTTTAATGTTTTGATACTATACTCACTTAATTTTATTGTTTTTATAAATTCTGTTATTTTTTTATTTTTCTTCGTTTTTTAATTTTTTTCAACTGTAGATAGTAAAAATTTTTTTCTTCGTTTTTTTCTTATAAAAAGAATTTTGATATAATTAATAAATAATTGATCTTGAAAAAATAATCGTAGAATTATTTCATTTTATAAAAACTTTATTGAATGCATTAACATATTTCATTATTTTTAAAGTGACTTTTATAATTGCGAATAGTAAGTTGCCGTAAGTTATAAAAATATTTATTTTCGCAGATTATTTTTTAAAATAATATATTACAGAATAATTAAGTACACTTTGCTTTTCACAGGAATAAATCAGATGTTATATCAAGGCCACTTAACTTTACTATTTCTATCTTTTTCCTAAAACCATCAATCACAATTTATTTTAGATCGTAAACTCATATGTTGTTTATATGTTTCTCCCCTTTTTAAGCGCCTACTATCAAAACTTAAGTGTAACGACATCTACTGTTAAGATAGGTTCTCAACATCAGCTGCCTCCATACATTTTTTAAAATTTATTATGAAAACAATTCTTGAAAGAATCATAAAATAAAAATTATGAATGAGTCAAAAGTAAATATTTAATATAAATAAATGTTAAATTATAATTGAAAATTTTTGATGATATTTCAAGCTGGAAATAAACTCATTGAATCTTAATAAACTTAAAAAATTTAATCTATTAATAAGTTTTTCACCTCAATCTTTATTTATGCTTTTTTATTTTTTTTTAGTTCAAAAATATAATTTTCATTCCAACAAGCTTAAAAATTTGAATGTACTATTCGGACGCAGCTTTAAAGCATTTACTGCCGTTTTTAGAATACCAGATAAATAAATAAAAAAAAATGTTGAGAAATCAAAATAGAATTAAATAAAAATTGATAAAAAAAAAGTTCTAATTTAATTTTTTTTTTCCGGAAAATAAAAAAGTGGTATTATTGTAAATCATGAAAATAAAATTTTCATTCAATTTTTGATCTATATGCATGTAAAGAGTAAACCTAAAAAATTATAAAAATAAAAAAAATTAAGTAAACTGCTTAATTAAATGTTAGGGCCAGTTTTTAAAACAATGTTATTTTTATTGAAATCAAGTTTTTTTTTTCTTTTGTTAACATAGAAAAAATCTTTATCTCAACAAAAAATATAGTTTGAAAAACTGGCCCTAAAAATCATTTGTTTTATTAAATCTTCAAAAAATTTAACCGAATCAATTGATAACTTATTGACTTGTAGTACGAATAGTTTCTAAAAATTCAGTTTAGAATTAGTAATCGCATATAAAGTTCCAGTGCGATGAAAAATTATAACTGCAGCGTTTTCGTATAAATGCGATAGTAGTTATGTATGTAAGTGGCTCAACTGAGTAGTAAATTAAAAAATCTAATGAACCCAAACGTCACAAAAAAAATGTTGACTTTTTGGTAGATTTCACTCAACAAGAAGTTAAAAAATTAATAATCGTCAACTTAAATTCAACAAAACATTAACAAAAAAAATTTGTGCCGCTTGAGAATTCGGTTAAAAATAAAAATTTAAGTATTATAAATCAACTTGACCAATAATAGATGGCGTGTTATGATCATTTTGGTGTGAAGGAGAAAAAAGAAAAAGATAGCTCAAAGAAATGAGTAGGATAGAAAGCAAATAATCGTGAAGTTTTGACATCCCAAAAAGATAACCTCTGTATTCTATAATTATAATTGTATTTTTTATCAAAAATACTGTTATAATTGGTGAAGCTAATAATAGCTAATAATCTTAATTATTGTGTAAGCAATATTAAATTTTGGGCTCAACCCCAGAATTGAATAACAATTACGTTAAATATTGACCATAAACCGACGTAAATTCTGTTAACGTGAGTAAATTTTTTTTTTTTTCTGAATTGAATACAATAATTTTTATTCATTCATGATGACACTGAAATCAGCAAATACTTTGGTGTTTTTAAATTTTACTTAGCAACTAAATTAATTCTAGAAAAGTGTATGTAAAAAAATTGCATTTTATGGTTTATTACAGTTTCTACACCTGAATTTTCTTTTAATTTTTGTTGGACATCATTTATTTGTTTAAAAAATTTTAAAAATGATCAAATGGTCTCTTAATTTCAGTGTCATTCATTCATAATGTATTATTACAAGAACATTTACGGAAAATAGTTATTTTTTTTCTTTTTTAAGATGAAGGAGACGATTACTTGAGATTTAATGGATTTTTATTTTAAGTAAGAAAGTAAAGTATTAAATATAAACAATGGACAAAGACAAGGAAAAGGAAGATGATTCAACGAGCGCAATTGGATCAGCAAAAAAAGATGATACAGTATTAACTTTGGACATAAAAACAGCAGTTGATGCGAAAAATTCACAAGCTAAAATAGTCCGAGGAACTAAAAAAATTCGAGTTGATTCTACAGATTTTAATCAAATTACTGACAAAAAAGGTAACCATTATTATATTTTTAAGTATAAATTTTTATTTATAATCCTAAAAATTAAAGCCCTCTGGCAGCAGTTTGATTTTCTGAATAAGTTGTACAATCTTTTAATGAAATATTTCTAAAATACGCACATAAAGATTTCTGTATCTACTGGAGATATTTTAAAATTAAGAAGCATTTCCTGGGATTGAGGTTTATCATAAATATCTTCTAAACAGTTACGTAACACTTCATTCGAATACAATTCATCCGCGGACTTTTGATCCGCACGGCAAACGATCCGCAGGAAAATTGATCCGTGATGTGACGTTTTAACAAGGTTGTTGTGTGTGTTTATTCGACATTATACCAACACAGAAGCTTGTTATTGTGTTGCGCTCTTTTAACAAGGTTGTTGTGTGTGTTTCTTCGACATTATACCCCAACAATATTAAATTAATGGAATAAAAATTAATAGTCATTAAAATGGGGGGCTCCGCCCCAACCCCCGCCGGCGCTTCGCCTCTGGATGCCATCAAAAATTGGACCCCTCCAGTGGAGATTAATTGTCGTGCGGATCAATCATCTACGGATGAAGTGTCGCGGATGAATTGTCTGCGGATGAGCGGTCGCGTCACCCTTCTAAACAAATAGAAATTTCCAAAAATAGCGCTCTGACATTCGATAAATTATTTATATATTTACTTCTTAGCAGAGCACTTTTTTTTTAATTTTCATTTAATATTGAGAAATTTGATTTTTAAGTTTTCATTTACCGTACAAGTGCAGCAAAGATGATTCGGCTTCTCTAAATATACGAATAGAGAAATAATTGGGAATGGTTCTTAAATCAGCAGATATCCGACAATATTTTTATTTTCCCTTAACAAATGAATTAATACATGCATTTATAGCTGTATGTAAAATGTTCTTTTAAACTCTATGATAATTTTTTCCGTTTTGGAAAATTCTAAAAATTATTAGATGTTTGTTTCAGTATCAACTTGATATGTACATATGTAAATAACTTTTTTCACACTAAAAAAAAATTAACATGATTCAATAGATAGATAATAGTAGATTTTTACACTACAGTTCTGATATATTTTAGTTATTTTCTATGATTATGGATTATTGAGATCAACAATAACAATAGTAATAGTAATTACATCAATTTTCATTTTTCAAGAACAAATTGAAGCATGCATTCTTGAATTCGGCAAAACTTTCAAATGTCGTTATACCAGCCGCTAATGAGTTCCAAATTCATATTTCTCTGAAAGCAGTTTGGTGCTTATCAATGTAATTGTTATAATTTATTCATTTAATAATTTGATCATGCACACATCTCTCAAATCTCTCAAATGCTTTCGACAAATTATATAAAAATGAAATCGGTTTATAATCTTCATAGTTGGAAGCATTTGGTTTTTTCGAAACGGGTGGGACATGTGATAACTTCCATTTTGCCAAAAATACTCCAGTTAACAGTGATTTATTAAACAATTCTGTAAATGATGGTAAAATAATTGACAATACACGCTTATATGTTTTGATAAAAAAACTGTCTGGACCTATCAAGTTCGATGATAGTCTCATAATAATTGAAAAATTCTTGAAAAGTACTTGAATTAAGAAATTTTTTTGGTTAGAGTAAATTTTTATTAATTCAAGACATGAAAATTCTCCAAAATGATTTTCTTGATTCAAGATTATTTCTCGTGAATCAAGTTCATTTTTTTCATCATCGTAGTAACTCAAAATGTTAAGATATGACCAAAACATTTATGATAAAAAAATTTTACAATCATGGCAACTCCAAAATTGTCACTATAAGATTTCATCAGTAAAAACTCAAAATATTGAAATTCTTTTTATTTATTTCTATATCACTATTTTTATCTATACGTGAAAAGCTCGAAACTAATTTTATCAAGATCTAACCATTGTATTTTTTTTTTAATATGAATTCTGTTCTGATTCTTTTGTTAGCAAAAATTAAATACTCAATACACGACTTCGATTATTAAGTTATTGTTATCAGTTATCGTCATTTGTTATGTATCCATTTTTGCTTTTATTTAAAACGACAATATTCTATTCTTTTTAGATAACAAAGAAGATGAAGGTGATGCAAAAATTGGTAAATCCTTAAAACGTGAAAGTGAACGATGGACTTTAGAAGATAAAAATACATTTTTCAAAGCAATTAATGAATATGGAAAAGATTTTGATGGTTTGCAAGGATATTTTTTAAATCAAGGCAGAAAAAAAGGTTCGTCGGATAATATGATCAAAAATAAAGAACAAATTCGACACTTTTATTATCGTACATGGTTAAAAATATCAAAGCACTTAAAATTTTCGGATGATTTGAAAAAAACATCTCAAGAAATTTATGGATTAATCAATTATGGTGAATTACGTCGTAAATTACCGCGTATACATGAGAAATTTTTACTTAAATTGAATGAATTAATTTACTGGGGCTCAACACAAGTTCGTTTACGTGGCAAAACAATGCGGATAAAAACACCGATATGTCGCGCATTAAGAAAATTAAATCAACTTGAAGATTGGCAAGAAGAGATAAAATTACCGCCACGTGTTACTGTTGAGTTACGACCGGGAAATAATCTAACATGGTGGAAAGTTCAAGCTAATGCTATGAATCCTCGAGTAAGAACATTGGTACCAATTCAGCGCCGTTTATCTAGCTTATTGGCATTTTTACAACAACGATGGCAGCCTCTAAAATTTAAACCATCTTTAAACATCGACGATGAATCTTTTTATGATAAAAAATATAATGACAATGAATTGTTGCGAGTTACACCAATTGAAGGGGCTAAAATATCATTACCAATGGTTAATCTTGGTGAATATTTAACTAGCAATAGTGTGTCATTGAATTCTTATGAACAACGTTTAAGCTTAAAAAGTTCTCGTGAAGAACTATTAGGTTATGTTCAACAATTTAAAAGCGTTGGTAAAAAAACTATTAAGAAAAAAATAGATAAAAAGATATTGAATTTGAGAGGCGCTGGAACTGGAGGATCTACTGGAGGAGAAGATCACGATAAATTAAATGATAATAATAGTGATTTAGATAATTTAGATACACATCTTAATTGTATAGACAAATCGCTTTTTTCTAGTCATAGTGATAAAAACGTTGGAGATTCTAGTGTAAATAGTAATATTAATGTCAATTTAAATAATAATAGTAATAATAACAATAACAATAATAATAATAATATTAATAATAACTCAAGTACTGAACCTAATCGGTTTCCGGGCCGTGAAACAATTGATCGTATTCGAATGGGATGGAATATCGAAGAAGCTAACACTATTACCATAGGAGATTTATTCTTAATGGTAAGTAATTTCTTGATCCATTAAATGCAATTATTCACTTGTTTACTGATTTATTTTTCATGTTGATAGTTTGGACGAGAATCAAAAATAGTATTAGATTACTGGTGGGATAGTCCAAAACAAAACGATAGAGAGGCAAACGATAGCTCACTGTTGAGTAAAGACTTTAAAAAACAAGATGAAAATATTTGTCTTGCTTTACAAAAACTCTTGTCAATTGCTAAGCACAACTACGGTAGTAATAAAGCTTTTGACAATACGTCAAGCAGCAATGAAACAGTAGTATCATCTAGAATGCCTTCAACTAAGGATTCAACATTTAGGAGGCCATTGATTCCACAAGTTTATCATAAAACTAACAGTCATCAGGCATTTAAAACTCAATTGGACGTAAGTAATTTAGTTTATTTTTGTGTATTTTTACACTTTTAAATAACATTCATATAATTTTGAAATTTTTTTCTATAAAAACAAACGACTTATGTATTAAGTCATCGCAATTCATCAATTTATTTAAGGTTGTACGGACACTAATGCACTTTTGAAGATCAGAAGCTAATTTTTTGATATGTTATGAATTGCTATCTCATACGTCTAAATTAATTTTTTTGAATAGATCTGTCGAAGGGTTGTCCTTTAATAAATTATTAAAAAATTGAAATTTAACATGTAGCCTATAGAGACTATTGGCGGATTGCACATATATCGATTTATGTGACTGCGATTAAAAAACAAAAAACTTCAATTTCAGTCAATGAACTTTCGTAGAATACGTTAAAAATAAAATGAAAATTTTCTGCCGAAGGCTTTTAAAGATATTTTAATGCAAAAGATGAGAAATTCACGAAAATTTCAGGCCGACATATTTAAAAATAAACAAACCACGTTGCACAGAATAGAACGCGCGAATTTTGAATTTTAGTAATTCCTGTGTATTTTTATGGGTTATGTTTTTCAACTCAACACTACACAGTGAGATAAATATAAACAGCTGTTAAGTGCGGTGTTGTCAGGTCCAAGTTTTGTGAAAAAATACTTGAGTCAAACGTTGACTATTTATTGTTGTTGTTAATTAAATTATTAAATTATTTTATTTAATAATAATGTAAGGTAACGATTAAATTATAGTAATGAATTTTCGTATTTAAATTTTTAAGTTTAATGAAAAAAAAATTTAGATTCTACTATGACTTACGGGGTACTGTCCGTGCAACCTTAATGAAAAGACTTATTATTTTTTATTATTCACTGCATTTAAATAGCGTTGCTAGAAGTGATGAAGCGTTTTCGAAATGGTGAAATTTAGGATTTTGAACTGATACTTATCAAACCAAAAAAAAAATATTAAAAATAACAATAACACTGTCATCATACATAGTATTTTAAATGCATGAGAGATTTAATCACCAAAAATTTGGATTTTCTTTTGGAAAAACATGGGAATTCCCATAAATATTAATATTAATATTTATTATTCGCTTTCAATATGATTTTTCGTTATTCAAAGAATTTTCCCGATAAAAATAATTGTATCTGATGTATTAAGTATATAAATTTTGTATTTGTTTACATTTGCGGCTCCGATTATTCTCGGCCGTAAAATATCAATAAATTAATCTATTCATGTTTTCGTCTCTTTCGTTTTGTTCTCCACCGGGACAAATTCATAAAAAAATTCGAAAAAATATTCATTTTGAAAATGAGTTTTTCAATTACATTTTTAAAATTAAAAATATAAATATACTTATCTGGTTATTCCTTCAAATTTTTTAAGCATTAACTTTTAGAGTGTCATGGTAAATTATTTTCTTAAGGACTATAGTCCTTTGTAGCTACAAAAAACTAACCAAATTATAAAAATGAAAAATCAATAATTATTATCATTTTTTATGAATTTTTCAAAAATTTGTTACTTTAACAGTTTGCTTCGGAATTTTTGATTAATTTTTATAAATGATTCGCAGGTGATGCAATTTTTCAATAGTTAAAGATAAGTGGAAAATGTGTGTAGGCTATTTCGTACTCAAATTATTCTATTTAATATTATTGAGGCCACAGTAATCTTGAAGAAATATTGTATCAAAAAGCATTCAGTGATCTTTTTCCGATTCGTATTTACATTATCTATTAAATTTTTCATAATTTCTCTGAAAAAACACTACCCAGTCGTTTATACTGGAACGTTTTACATTATTTTATAATTGTAAATATGTAAATAACATTGCATATAGCTCGCTAGCACTATTTGATGTTTTTTGTTAAATTAATATATTCACCTATATTTGCGTTTCCAAATATGATTTACAGAATTTCAAACATCATATCGAATTTTCGAAAAAAATAATGCTGTATACATTCAAAAATCCATAAATTTCTAGATTTACGAAGGCTTCTAAAAATTGAAGTATTTTTGATTTGTATTGCTATAGCTATTGTTACTCGTGAATAATTACTTACAATTAGAAACATGTTCTTAAATTAAATTTTTATGGGCATTCTGTTACAAAAACAAACATTACAGAAGAGTTATCTAGATTAAGGGGTTACATGGGTTTCCTCTGGGAAAAAATGGCCTATTTTCAACAATTGTTTTTTTTCAATATAAAAAATGAAATATTTTATTCAAACTTTTTACTGTCTTAAAGATACATGTTTAATCAGGGATTACTGAAATGGAAAAAAAAAATTAAAAACTGCGATTGTGACGTCATTTCCGGCGAGCCCTCGAAAAAAAGATAAGATAAGATGCGTCCGCGTTGACAGCAGAACTCCTAGCAGGATCATTTGAAGTGAAAGAAAAAAATATTTGCTTTAGTTAAGACTTCAAACTAGGACTTGGACGAAGGAAAAACAATGAAAATTGGATTTTTGGCAGAAGTTTTTACAAAAAAATGAAAAATTTGGCAAAAATTTCGCGGCATTTTTTTGTTTAAATAATTGTAATTGAAAAAAAAAAAATCTTTTGTCCCAGACTTTGTAAATTATATCTCGAAGAAAATTTCATCAAGATCGGTTGAGTAGTTCTCGAGAAATCTTGACAACTGTCTTTGAAAACATAGTTACGAGAAAACGGGTTTAAAGTTTTGAGTGACAATACAACTGCGCCTTAAGCGCGCAACTTTTCGAAACTGTATCTCCGAAACTATTATTCGGATCGATTTGAAACTTTAGGATAATATTCTAGAGATGTTGTAGAATTTAATAAGACACTAAAGAAAAATTGGTTTTTTTGAAACCGTGAAACCCATGTAATGCCTTAAGAATGAGTTTCAAATTGATGATTTTTATTGATGTTTTCAGAAATTTACCACAAGGTTTTGTAAACGTGGCCGCACAGTGAGGCAACGGAATCTAATAGTACAGCGTACAGTTCCATTGATTGGTAACATGAGTTGTGAAACAAATGAAACTAATGATACAAATAAACTAAATCTCAATGTCCCACAAAAAGTTACCGAATATTCTAACGATAATAATCCTAATGATATGGGAGTTGAATTATCAAATAAAAATGAAAATATGGAGTCAGATAATTTATTATCATCGTTTAATGAAGTTCCTGTCGATGATTCTAATAATGATTTATTAGTACAGCCTTCTAACTCCATAATCACATCTGCAACTCAAATTTTAAAAGAAGGAGAAAGTCAATGGCTTAACAGTGAGGTAGTTATATAATTTTTATGTTTAGTAAAAATCGATAATATTTAAAAAAAATTAAAACAAGCATTGATGAATCTTAACTTGAAAATTTTTCATTTTTATACTATAGGTCGCTGACTATTCTCTAAGTAGTTATTTTCTCGGTCAACTTGAATCACCATTAAAAGGATCGCAAAGAAGTCAAACAGGAAGTCAATTAGAGTTGATGCGACCTTCATCTGATGTAAGAAGATATTTTTTTGTTTAAATAATTTTTTTTAATACATTTAGATACTTACATTTAAATCTCGAATTTACTTTTTTATAGGTACTCAGTCAAATGCAATGCCTAATGGTAGAAAATAGTGTAGATTACATGGCTAAATTTGCTAACTTGGCGTCGCAGATTGCATCTAATGATCAAAATATAAACAGGTAAAGAAAAAAACAAGCAATCTCTCATAAAACTCTTGACAAAATTTAAGTGCTTTGTATTATTTATGTAAAAAATTATTTTACTATTTAACACCTAAGAATAATTTTTATCAGTATTTTTGTACTTTGAATATGAACAATAAAAATGTGAAAATATTTTACATTGCTAAATGACATAAAAAAAATATATATAAATGTATATATGTTGTGAATTAGAAGTTACAAGACAGCTGAAGGCGCGCAGTAGCCTATCGGATCCGGCCCTTGCTATCAAAGCATTGGACCGGGTTCGAATCCGGCGTACACCAATGAATATTTTCAATATTTAAGTGTATTATTCTGCTCAGCCCAAGAAATACAAACGAGTTCCAATCTCAAAAGTTTACCCCCTACCGTAGTCGCTCATGAGCTTAGTAGTTTATGCGACTTTAAACAAATCAAAAAAAAAAAAAAAAAAAAAAAATACAGCTGAACCGCAAACAATTGATCCGCGGCAATTCGAAACGATAAAACTCTTCATCAGGGTGAAATAAATCTATAATGATCTATTAACTATCAATAATATACTACAATCATTTCTGCAAAATATTTAAATAAAAAATTTTGTCATTTTTTTTTGCGGATCAAACATCGTGGAAAAATTGTTTGCGGGTCAGCGGTCGCGTCACTGAATTGGATTGGTATTGTTAAATTAATATTCACTATAAGATTCATTGTGTAATGTTATTTTTTATTGATTACAACAAACTTATTTACAAAAATATTCTAAAAATATAATATTTAGTTGAATTAACGTGTAAAGTCAGAGATACATTGTGTCTACCTTCCGAGAGTTATCGATTAATGACCTTATCTCCTTCGTAGGACAAGACAACTCAACTATATATCTGATGACTATAACCAAAAAATATCGAACGTTATTTATTAGAGTATCGATTAAAGAATCAAAAATTATTCTATAAATATCAGACGACTAATGCGCATTTTAGTGGTGTAACTGCATACTTTGATGATTAAAAAGCAATATTTATTGGTTTACGTTTTTTTTACATGCAAATAAATATATGCATTGGTTGGTAACGGCAGTAGCAACCGATGAAAAAAAGGAACGATGTGAGTATACTAAAGTGATTCTGGAGGAACAATCTGATACGTATCCGACAAAAGATACAGTTCATGGAACTATACCGCTCAACCGCTCCGGAACGACACAACTCTAGTGCCTACCATATAATATGACTCCCTTTGTTTTTTTTTTGTTTTTTCTTAATTTTGAAAAACGCAATAATCAACAAAAGCGATTGAACAATAAAAACAAATAATTAAATGATAAAAATACATCATGAGTCAATAAAATATAATAATAAAGACTAATTTTTGTAAACAAAAAAAAAATCACGTGGATTAATTTAGATGACTAATCGAACTTTGCATGAGTCGCAATAAAATTGTACTTGTCGTAAGCTAGGAGTCGATTTTTCATATTTATAAATAAATATTATCATTTTTTTAAACAGTTCGATGTTTGAGGCCTGATAACTCCGAAATGGTTATCCGTACGCATATATTCAATCGGATAATTTTTGTAGATCGTTAAATTTTCTACAAGAATATGTATCGATCATAGCTATAAAATGCTTCGTTGTCGACTAGCAAAATTCAAAAGTAAAAAAAAATTTTTTCCATGTTATTTAAATGAAAATAAAAAATTAAGTACAGTCACCTCTATACATTAATATTAAAGGCTGAGATTTTCACAATGTCTTTGATTAGGGATTAGATACTCCGAAGAATTTTTAATGTTCTTCAAAAAAAAAATAGTGTGTTTTTTTGAAACACTCTAATCGTCATGGTAAGAAATTTTACCTGGGAGACAAATTTAGGTCCGTTGATGATAAGTCCGTACTCGCGGAAGCGTTCGAATAATCCCTGGTTAGAGAAAAAACATTAAAAATGATAAAAATAATTTGAAATGATTGAAAAATATTCGATTTTTACTTCTATTTAGATATATATTTAGATATACTCTTTGCATAGATTGAATCTTTTTAAGTGTTTTTTTTTTTTTTTTTTTTTTTTTTTTTTTAAATCAGAAATATTCGGGATGTTTCTTGTATTCTTTTCCGTTTTAGGAGCGGCAAGGATAACATCGATTTTATTCGATTCGATGAGGAGACGAAGTCGAGATCGCGAGTGATTTCGTTTATTAATCGCTAAAATGTTTTAACTTCATCTTCTTGATTTGAGTAGAAAAATTCCTAAGATGAAGAATTTTTCTAGGTTTAAGTAAATTTTACTTGATTCAAAAATTTTTCGTCTTGATTCAAGACAATGAAACTCCTCAAAATTATTTTCTTGGTTCAAGAATTTTTCTCTTGATTCGAGTCAATTTTTTTTTCAGTGTACATATTTAGGTACAACAAGAAGTAGTAAAAAAAAAACATGCTCGAAATAATATCAATCAGACTGAATCGTCAGAGTTATTTAAAAAAAATAGTTTTTAAAAAATTTTTTACGATATTCCCCGTACGAATCAACCGATTTTCATGTATTTCATACCGCATTCAATGTGGTTTCTCAAAGTTAATAGCTAATTAAATTTTGAAATCAACCGGAACAGTAGTTTACAAATTATTCTAAAAATGTATTTTTTTTAAAATATCAGTTTTGAATTTTCTCAAGCTTAGAGTTCAGTTTCCATAAAATTAGAGGGCAAGAGTGCCTTTGCGGATGTCGCAACTACGTTTCAATTGATCAAGCGGTATAAAAGTCATATAAGTCATAAGGTAAAAGTCCCTATTATGAGACACTTTTCAAGGTAGGTTGAACATTCCTGCGAGTAATTAATCCATTTAAGAAAAAAATACACTTTTAATCGCATTATACGATAATTTGATGATCATTAAATCAATATTCATATTGTTTTTATAGTTTTTTTGGTCAAAAATTAATTAAATTATGGTTTTTTTGGGGAACCTACATAACCCTATTTATGAGACACTTTAAAGTCACATGTCCCCAGTGTCTCAAACCACAGGACCCTATTTTTGAGACAGTTAAAAAATCAGCAAAGTTGATCAAATTTGATATATTTATCAATTTTAGACAATCGTATTTACAAAAGAAGGAATTACTTTAATTTTTAATTAACTTATAAAAAATTTTTTATCAGTTAAACAATTAATCAACGCAAATTATTCAATTAAATCTATTGTTCTTTCTTGATTTTTTTTATCATTCCTTGACTTGAGCCATTAATTTTTTTTCTTCTTGTAATATTTTTTTATTGTTAAACTTTTCTTCTTTCATGTTTTTTCTGGATCTGAATTTTCTTATATAAGTTCCGAAAAAAAGTCACAATAAGTTAAA